CTCTGTTTTCCTTCTCATTGTTGCGGCTTCGTCTTTGAGCCGTCAGCCTGACGATGTGGATTTTGTCACAGGGAAAGCGATTCCTGGTGTTTCTTTTCAGCTGGAACGTTGACTTCATCTGGGCTATTCATGGCACCATCAAAAACCAGCTGGAGTTTTATAGCAAGTAAGACCCTCGTTTTATTCCGCTTGACAGTTTTCTCTTGGTGTTATTTTCTAACAAGTTGCTTTCTTCAGGACCATGACTACTCATATTATGGAGATCTACTTCAGAGCATGGAAGAAGGCTGGCGGGGACTTCCTGGCGGAGATTGAGAGCTCATGCATACAGGATTTTATGCAGAATGCGATCTTCCTTCATAGAGCATCTCCTGTTCACGCCAAAGTCCGACAGGTAGACTCATTACCTTCAGCCGTGATGTGCATCGTATTACTGTGTGTGTTTACTCTCTGATCTCCTTGCTTTAAAATGCAGATCGTGAGCTATTTCCACTCAAGGAAAGGCTGCAACAAGGTGGACAAGATGCTCTATGATCTCTACAGGCCGTTCCTCTGGAAAGCTTTGACGGTACGGACACCGTTTTCTAACTGCATTCATGCTGGTGTTTTAGGATTTTATTCTAGTCTAATGTGTTTCTGTTTGATTCGTTCAGGCTCCGAACTTTGAGGTGCGCGCAAACGCCACTTTGCTTTTCACTGAGGCCTTCCCAGTCCACGACCCGGATCAGAACAACCAGAATATAGACGAGACCATTCAGAAGCAGCTGGACACAGCAATGGTGAGAACCTTTCAAAGCATTCGACTACTTTTTGATCTCAAGAAGGGGCAAAATATCATTAAAATTCATTCTCGGATCTTGTAATAAGTCACGAACCTCAGAGACAATATTTCCACCGCCTGTCTGTCTCCCTCAGGGCCTCCTTGATGACCCTCATCCCACTGTGCGCTCCAATGCCACCCTGGGAGTCTGTAAGATCCTGGCTAAGTGCTGGGAGCTGCTCCCTCCCACAATCATCACGGACTTCCTGAAGAAGCTGGTGATGGAGCTGGCGGCTGACAGCAGCTCCCCAGATGTTCGGTGCTCAGTCTTCAAGGTAGGAGATGCCGTCTCTCTCTGTCCTGATGTATGTTGGTGTGAAAAATGTAGACGTGTGAAGCCTCGTATTGTTAGCTTACTATTATGTAATCTTATCCAAGATCTGAGCTGAGAACATGTTTAAAAACTGGCAGTGTTAAATCAAGTTATATTAGAAATGGCAACAATTAGGCGTTCTTTTCCAAAAGTATTGTGATGCCAAATTGTAAGCATTATTGTCACCGCAGACAGAATTAGCATGGCTGATTTTATTGGCAGCAGACTGGATATTTAATGACTTGTGGTCTGTGTAATGTTTTCCCCAGTGTCTGACTATTGTCTTGGACAACACTCTCAGCCATCCACTATTGGAAAAACTCCTGCCTACTCTCAAATACAGCCTCCATGACAACTCTGAGAAAGTCCGCACAGCTTTTCTTGACATGCTCATCAAGGTGAAGGCAGTGCGTGCTGCCAAGGTACTCTTTCTTTTTGCTTTATACATTGTTGGGTTGTTGCATGTTTTTCTTTATTTTAATTATAAAACCATTTAAAGTACACAGTGCACCTAGACTGGGAATTTAACTTTGTTTTGTTTTTTTTAACACTTTATTTATTTGCTTTGCCCATTTAAAAACAAAACAGTTTTAACAATATGAGTAACTGAAATGACAAAGAAAAGAATATTAAAGTTCATAAACATAAAACATAACAAGTCCATTTATATATTTTAATGACAGAACGAGCCTGTCCCCGTGCAGTGGACCCTTTCTATCTACCACAAAGATTCAAGGCAAAAGCAGTAGCCACAAGCAATAATAAACATTAAAATTCAACAACAACAACTATCATATGAAAAAAATATACTTGTGAATGCCACTGACAATAAAGATGCTGGAAAGGATATATTCTCCACATAATAAATGAAGATGAATCTATTATTTAAGGCGGTAAAGACATTTATTAGAGCAAAAATGAATGACCTGTCTCTAAAATACATACAGTAGCTACACAAATGGAATATGAAGTAGTTGTAGTAGTTGGCAAGTATCATAAGTCATAAACTTGTCAAACAGTATGAGTGTCAAGATGAGGAATGTGAGGAAATGTGTTAATATTTCATTGTCTATACTGAAGACATAATTAAGTTTTTGGTGCAAATCCAGGTGTAGTTCAGCCAAATTACATCGAGACGCAAAGGATGCAAGTTAATGCCAGATGTAAAAAGAGGCTTCTTGTGTTTCACTCTCCAGTTCTGGGACGTGTGCAGTATGGACCACCTGCTGGCCCGCCTGGCCATCGATTCCCAATCGGTTTCCAAGCGCATTGTCGATCTGCTCTTCAAGTCTTTCTTCCCCGTCAACGAGTCGGAGAGGGAGTGGTGCTGTCGGTGCATCACCCTCATCCAGATGAACCCCATGGCTGCCAGGAAGTTCTACCAGTCGGCCCACAAACACACAGCCCCCACTAACATAAGTAAGCGCTGTGTGTACAAGACCAACCAAGAAATGATTCAGTATGTTGTCAGTACGTTAAGTTCCTCCATTGTTTTGTCGTCTCCTCCAGTAAAGCTGATGTTGGCCATTCGCCGTGTTCTGAACAGCTGCATCCAGACTGACTGTGACCTGTCAGACATTAATGACAGCAATAAGGAGAACAGCGCAGTAAGAGAGATTTGAGAAATAAACGATGGTTTGCTCGGACTAAAAGTGTTTGACTGTGTATACTGTGAGTCTGTGAGCTTCTTCATTAGAGTTTGATCTCAGCAGGCTGAACCTCTGCTGGGGAAAGACGTGGCTGTCGTGTCCCGTCTGCTGGAGGTCGTGGTCATCCTGTGGAGAAGCGTCGAGAAGGCCCTGAAACAAAATGAAGAGGCCCAGAAGTACACTTTCGCAAAGTTTGGAAATGTCATGGCCAAGTACTTCCAGGCCTTTGAGGTACTTCAGCCTCTATGTGTTGAATTGTTTGTTATTCCTCCATGAACAAGTCCTTAATACGCTTTGCCTAACTGTTTTACAGGATGAACAATGTACCGTTCCTCTCATACAACTGGCCTCCTTTATGCCCGCAGCTGCAGTTCCAACATTCAGGTGTCTCCATCTCATTCGGCTTTTCGCCTTTTTCTTTTCTGCTCTGCTGACATGCTCCTGTCTAACCTCCCTCGTCTCGCTCTCTTGTTCTCAGCTGTGGCGTCCTGTCCAGACTGAGGAAGATGGACCCAGGAGCGGTGCCAACGCAGTACAGCCAGCTGTTAGACTGCATGTGCAGCTGGGGCCAGGCTGCCAACATCCTCGAACTCGCCACTGACTGGCTCACTGAGGCTCTGCCCAAGCAAGGGGTATTTTGCTTTGACTTAGACATAACGGGCTGAAATTATTGTTGGGTTTGTGAGCCCCAGAGAAAAGCACTAAAACGTGAGATTCATGTAGCTGCATTTCCACAACAGGAACTGCTGATATAGGAGTTAGTATGGCGTTGAAAAAAGGAAAGCATCTCTGAGTTAAACGGCCAAATCTGAGTCGTGTTCAGCCTTAGTTTAATCCAAACACACATCTCTTGTTGCTCTTTGTAAAAGTCCTCTCCCTTTCAACTTCAGGACAAGGCGAACACCAATCGAAAGGTGCGTATCCTGGAGACGGTGGAGGCCAAACCAGACCTGGCGCTGGCTTACTTGGAGTACTTGTTCAGCCACACTTCAACGCGAGAGAAAGTGCTGGCTCTTGGCGAGCAGCCACTGAAGCAGCTCCATACAATTCTAGGAAACTGGAGGGTACGTTGGATACCATTCATTCTTATTTCATTTAGTTAAACATAGAAGCACTATCGGTCTGTGTGTCACTGCTTAGATATATAAATGTATTTTATATCGTTCCTCTATGAGATGTGAATCAGGCTGATGTTTGTCTCAACAGTCAGTGCTGTACACTCACCTCAGCTCCAGCACAGAAGATCCTAAAACTCCCAGTGTGGAGACCGCACTCAAAGTCTTCATGTACTACGGCCGCCTCGGTGCACATCTGCAACATACCGTGAGCATTCTCATCCCACTTGTCACTTGTATTTATCATCTGGGATCTGCTTAGTGTCTTTGTAAATGAGCACTCCGCTAGACTTCAAATATTTTGGTAATCAATTAATTCTTTTCTTTTTTTTTTTTAATCAAAATAGTGGAAGAAAATGCCGCACATTCTCAAATAACAGGATGTGCTGCTTCTTAACTGATTACATTTTAGATTTTTGACTTTTGGTCTGACAAATTAACACCACTTTCGGTACTGCAAAGTTGTGCTATGTATTTTTGCTGCCCTGTTGTAGGTGTTGAGGCAGGAGAGAGAGCTAATAATTTTTCCAGGTGACTCAGGTTTATGGGTTTTTGAGTTACTTGCCTAAGTGGTCATTTATTTTTAAGTTATTTCCCCTCTTAAACTACAAAAACAAGTTAAAGTAAAAACCGAATGAAACCATTTGCTTCTTTCCTAGTCCTCAGAGGGTCGAGACTACCTGCTCTCGCTGGAGCATGTGGCAGCGTGGGTAGCTGAGAGGGTGTTGCCCTTCCTGGCCAAACGTACCAACGATGATGAAGAGGAGGAGGATTCAGAGAAGCCACAGCCACTGGCTGCACAGATAACTGAGGTGAGCTCTTCTATTACTTATGTAAATGTCATTGGAGGACTTTAGACTGGAAAACGTCCACTAAGAACTTATTGAGCCGAAACAAATATGTGTTGGAGATATAAGTGTCTGTTGAGCCTTCCCAGACTGTAATTAGTGAAACTAAAATGACTTTGCAAGGCTGCACTAAGCACTAGCGTTTAATTTGGGCAAATAGGGAAAATGTGTGGTCTCCATTAAGGGAGTGAGGATACTCTTCTCCACGGCAGCACAAGTGTGTGATTTAGGCACACAAGGTGGGGCACACAAAAGGATTTTCCTAACAGGATATTAGCTTCAGCAGCTGCACATGAGTGTGAATGTGTCTTATTTTGTGATGTAAATTAGTGTTTGATTATATGTTTCACCACATAGTTAGCCAGTGTTCTCAAATAAATACCGATAAACAAAGAGCTCTCTATGTAGAACATTTTTTGAATTTTCTAATGCCCTTTGATACTGAACATAATCGTGCAGCTTCTACTACTACTATATGAGGTATTTTTATGATGGATGTGGATGCCATGTGTTATTATTATATATAATATTTATGTGAATTGGAAAGTCAATCCAAGCTAGGAGATTTCTCTGCAGGAAAACCACATCTCCTTGTTCATAAATAGCCAGTTTAGGTGTTTTGACTTACTCATTTTCACCCTAATACGTCGCCTGTACCAAGGCTGTAGATTAAAAATACACAGTTGTGTTGTTACACAGGACATTAAGTTTTGTAGATCCTTTTCACCTCCTGCTTCCAGGACTTTCAGATCTGGTCGGTAAATTTAGACTCCTTATAGATTGTACTGCTCCAGTCCACACACGCTCTATTCACGCCTCCTCCCGCTCATACTGCGATACCGAAACGAGCTTATTTTCTTTATTTGTGCCATTATTCTTCAGGCCTGCCACCACATAACTGCTGCGATCAGATATTGAGAATAACCCTGCATGTGTTTCAGTGGCCTTTCTATCAGTGTGTTGGTGGGGGATCGTAGGCAGCTACCAGCAGAAATGAACATTACGCTGAAATGCTGTTCCCCCTAGACTCTGTGTTGTCGATTTTAATAAGTGCTCTTTTATTTGGGGGGGAGTGTGAATTTTCCATTATCGTGACGATTGTGCATTTTACCAGAGTTTCCTGACAGTGTGCCGAGACGTTTTGCTCGTGGGTTTGGGCGACCAGACGCTCAAGGGTCACATCCTCCACCTGTGCTCGCTCACCCTCCTCTCCGGTGAGTGATTCAAATGTCCGTTTATGGGAACGATACAGGAAGGGTACTGGTACACCGCATTGATGGAAGAGTGTGCAGTTTGAAATAATGAAAACATTTAACAGAAGCTGGATTTTATTTCACATAAAGCAGTCCTGTTGCATCATGTTTCTTTGACGTTTCCAGACGCAGGATACCTGTGTATTCCTGCAGTGCTGCCGATTCTGAAGGAGGTGGCGGACTGCTACGTACCCGAGGACAACAACCAGGCTCAGGGCAATCAGGGAGACGCAACCACTGTCATTCTGGGTGTGGTGGCCAACATCTTCCAGAAGATTATCGAACTCTTGGCTCGCCGTCTTAGGAAGGAACCAGAGGAGGGAAAACAGGTAGACATTTGAGCCCCAATGAGTTGATTTATGTATTTTATTTGACCTATTCTTGTAGCACCACCACCTACAGTTTATTGTTCTACATAAACAACACTTGTTTATTTCTTTAAATGGAGCTTCTGGCCTCCTTTTTAGTTGCTCTCAGTATTCCAGCGCTGTACAACTTGCACCATCAGTAAAGAGGGTTTTTTTTTTTTGGCTGTGTTAAGAATCCATCTTTGTGCCCTGACTTTAGCTGTGTCAGTCAGCCATTCCCGGCCTGACAGACTTCCTCCAAGTGGCTCAGACCTGGGACAGAGCACCTCTCAGCGGGGTCTTCTCTACTCTTTTTGCTGTCATCGTTGTGGAGAAGAGACATTTGCTTCAGAAGGTATTAGCTACACCACAGACGAGACACAGCATTTGTCTTTTACCAATATCCCACATGTCCTGGGCATGATAAGGGACTTGACTGATTATATTCTTGAGCAATTCAATTAAGGGGATGATGAATGCTGCTGTTCTCTTATTTTTAAAGATTACCCATCCAGAGGAGGTGATCACCCCGGAGTCAATGGAGGACATGCCTCCTCTGTCCGGTGTCCTACTTTCTGTCATCCTCAAAGTGCCCGCTGTTACCAGGTAAATATTCTCTGTCATCTTTTCTGTTCTTTTTAGAAAAGTTAACCTCATTCTTCTGTTTAGTCTGATACATTTATTTGACCGTAATGTGATTTATACACAGTTTAAAAGTCGTATTTGTTCTTGAATGTTTCTTTTAGGGCGTTTTTGACAGAGGTCAGCTCATCTTTGGACTCCGAGGCCATCAGCAGTCTTAATGAACTGGCTGCAGTCCTGCACGTCCTAGCCGTCATCAAACACAGTGAGTTCACATGATGGGAATTTGAATTTTTTTAGATATTGTTTCCTTTTGATAAATCACAGTTTGTTATATGTCACACTTTTTTTTACTAAATTATCTAGCGGGGCAGTCTAAAACGGGCTTGAAGAGCGCAGCCACATCTGTCCAGCAGCAGCTTTACAAACATGCAGTCACATCTGTAGACAGCAGGGACATCCAGAGGTAAGTGGAAAGAAATAAGATATTTATTATAGATGAATAAATTCATAGCTTTTTGGTTTATAACTTGTAATGACTAAATTCTTTATCTTATTCTCGCCACAGGGTTATTTATGAATCTTCTGTGAAGACCTTGAATGAAATTCTGGATTTATAAGTTGACTTGTTTGAGATGTAATATCTACTTCACATGTGTATTCTGGAGCTATGTTGAGCAGTATAATATCTGCTTCTCTGTAAGCAGACTCTCAGTTGCTGGCAAAAAAAAAAAATAACACGATAAATATTTCAACTTCGCTGATCGGGTTTTTAAAAAATATGTTTTGGATTTAGATCTAAAGCTGAGGACAAGTGGCTGTCTGTAACTATGTTTTTCCAGATTGGCTCCACTCCTCTGTATTTATTTATTTCTCGATGGCACACATTGTTCAAGTCTTCCCTCTCAGGCTTTGTGCATTGATAATGTGAAGAACTATTGAGTTCTCCAGACTGCAGAAGTATGGTATCTTGGATTGAGTGACATTCTACTTTAAGGCTTTTCTCTCCACAACAGCTCGGTGCTCCACTTGTATTTTTTAACAGTTTCATATGAAATACATATATTTTTCCATGTCTCACTGTCTGTGTTTATATATCTGTGGGCCTGTCAGCATTCTCACTGCCGTGTGCTACTAATAAGAATAAAACAAACTGTATCAATCAACCTAAACGTGATGTTTATTTCTTTCTCAGATGTTTTTCTTTTCCGTACAGCGATGTGCCGAGTAATAACCTCGTACAAACAAGCAATAAATCACTCTCGCTTTATTCTTAAAGGGGAATAGCACCCATTTTATGAATTTGCATACTGTTTTGCCTTGTCGATATTTCTGATGTATGCACACGTTGAAAGGTTTTATCTACTACACTTATGCAAGTACTGCACTGAAGAACTTTTTTGAGGTGCTTGAGTATTTCCATTCTGTAAAACTATATTTTTACTCCATTGTGTTGCAGAGGCAATATTCTACTTTTACTGCACTACATTTATTTGAGCGTAGTTACTAGTTACTCCAGATTAATGTATCCAACACTATATAAACTAAACATGAACTACTTCAACAGTAAAATGCAGGAGTATATTTATATTGTAGTATTGCTACTTTTATATAATCATATTAAAGCCTTTGTTTTGGTATTTTTGTATGTCTGCATCCTCTTTTACTCTAAATTCAAGTTCACTATAGTGTTTTATATAATAGTGAATTAGACTATAATAATAGTTGTATTGAGACTAAACTAATACTGTCTTAAATTTATGTTTTTATCTATTTATGTGATATACTATATATATACACTATACATGTATATATTTTTACATAAGTATTTTAATATTTGTTTATTTTTGTCACATTTTTTAAAGTAAAAATTACTTTATAATAGTCCATTTATAATATGTGTGCCTTTTATGTTTTTAGTATCTTTGTCAAGTTATTGGCTTGGCTGCACAAATAAATCACCACAACAGTTTAAAAAAGACTATAATAACACTTTCTTTACTGTGTACATTACTATTCGGCTCCTTTGCTGTCGTATGTTTCTCATGAATCTAAATTTGCAACCGTATATTTATTATTCTAGACAAGTTAATAACACCTATCAATCAAATTTTATGTGTCTCTTTTTTTTTCTCCTATTTCTTGTGTTGCCTTCATGGCTTCCGGGCAGTAATCATTCAGTACTCCTGTCCTCTACCATCCCTCCATCCCTCCATCTTTT